ATCATAAAAAAAAAAGATACAATCATTTGCTCTTTGTTTTGTCTTAAACTCAGCCCGTTGCTTACAAAATTAATTAGCCTCAACTATAAATTGCCAGTCAAATGCACAAAAAAAATTAAAAAAAATAAAAATTAATGATTTTGATAATTAATAAAAAACTTAATAAATCGACTTCAACTATAAATTGCCAGTCAAATGCACAAAAAAAATTAAAAAAAATAAAAATTAATGATTTTGATAATTAATAAAAAACTTAATAAATCGACTTCAACTTGATTTTTTATGGATTGATGTCAAATTATTTGAATGTAAATTTATAAATGCCATAAAATGTGAATAATTATGTTTTAAAGTTTTTACAGTTATAAAATATAATTATAGACTGGACTAGGGTCGGCTGTGCGTGCACAGCCGAGTCCAGACTAGTATATATATATAGGGAGAATATGAGATGGTTTGGAACTCTACGTTAGAGAATCCTACCACATAATAATAGCCTCATGAATGTTTTCTGCAAGTTTCTAAATTTCAACAAATGATCATAAAATTAATCTAAACTTACCTAACAAAATATTTCCTAAATAATTCTTAATGGATGTTTTCTACAAGTTTATAAATTTTCATTTCAATTTTATCATAGGTATTTGGTGCTACGTGATGATGTAAGTGTCCTCATATGTCATCGTCTTGATGGTGTGGAAGAGACTTATCTTTTTCCCGTACTGAGGCACAACCTAGCTAGGGTGCGATTAACTATATATTAAAACTGGTTTTGATAGATTAAATAAATTTTTATATTTTTTAACTCAAAATCAAATTCAAATTTAATTCAACTAAACTCTTTTCAATATTATAAATATAATTAAATAATGAGTAGTGCTACATTTTCAATCAAATTGTACAATTAGCTATACAATTAGGATATGTCGTGATAAATTCATAATCTCCATAGCTTGAAAAGGAAGACATTGTCTTTTACAACACTATACTTTTTTTTTTTTTTTTTTCTTTTCAACATAATATAGTAATTTCAAGGTACCAACTTTTTATAATGTATTTTTATTTTTTAAAAAAAGGATATTGGAAAAAAAATCTTCTTTTATCGAATTACATTTCGACTATGTTTGGTAAAGCTAGCTGATAGTTGATAAGCTAGCTTCAGTAATTTTTGAGCTTATAATTGGAAAACTAACTTATATGATAAAATTGTTTGGTAAAAAATACCAAAAGAAGTTTATAAAATAACTCGAGCTTTTTTAGAACAGCTCATCATACAAAACGAAACTTATTTAAATACATGAAACTTATAAGCTAACCAAATAACTCATAAGTTAACTTATTTATCTACCTAACATAGCCTATCAAGTTGCTAACACGAATGTTGTCTCCTATTTGCTCCCTATTATCGAAGTGGATTTTTTTTTTTTTTTTTTTGGCTTACGAGATTTACTCTAAAATGTAACTTACATTTTTTAACATCTAATTGTGATATTGTTTGTATGCAACACAATTTTTTTTTTCTACATTTGAAATTATATTATTGGCACTCTGTTAATCTATAGCGCTTATACACAATTTTTTTTCAATAAATAACAATTTATAGGCAAACATACTTTCAATGTTGAAAAAGTTCTATTTGAATTAATGTTTCATAGATTAATACATAGAAATATATGACTGACTTATTTATATTTTATAGTTTTAAAATTTTAACAATTTATCTTTGTTTATTTATTTTTATGTTTACAGATTTATAAAACTAACTTATTAAATTCATAACTGAAATATGTATATTTATGTATTGTTCCTAGTAAGATAGAAAACTTTTTTAATATAAATATAAAGTACTCTTCTACAAAACGATACAAGGTAAATTTATTAAGTGATATTTTGAAGGCAGATCAGTAATTGAATTGAAATTATCAAAGTCATTGTATTAATCCTAATGTACAAATAACAATTTTCTTAAATAATACTCATCAATTACCGTCTTTAACATATCAACTTTAATTCACTCACATATTTTTTAGGTACTTATAATTTTTTATAATATATATCCTACTTTTATATCAAATCAATTTGAATTATTACATTTAAATAATTTGCATTTGAATTGGTCAAATCAACTTTAATTCATTGTAAATTTTCTCCGGTAGCCATAGTAAATAGATTTAGCATTAATATGAAGCTGGTAGAAGATTGATCGCACCTTTGTTCAAATGCTTTGTTTGGTAAATAATTTTTTCACGCCTGAAGAGAAAGAGTGGATTAGTTTTACCATATCACTGAAAGCTTATAGTTTTCACGACGAGAAAATCTATTTAACTGAACCCCTGCAAGGTAATTCCTGAACTATATACAACACAAAAATTCTACGGAGCCCTCGGTTGGCTCCTTTATGGAGCTATTCATTACTTTATGTACTGACACATTTTCAATGTACATTTATTGCAGTATACGTGTCAATACACTATTTGTGAATATCCATGGGTGGCTCCATAAGCCAAGCAATCCGATGGCTCCATAGCAAACCCGAACAATGGTAGAGTATCTTCGAAGACTCGATCATTCCCAACAAAGTCGACTGTCTAAGCCGAACAACAAAGCATGCTACTTTCGTATACACACACATACACACACACACACGTAACTTGCAATTTACCATGAAAAGCTGCTTTCAATCTGCATCTCTTATTTTTGCTTCGACATCCACTACAGAACCAGGCGATTTTTTGCCTGTGAAAAATCGACGCATTATACATACAAGGGAATGTTTAGAAGAAAGCTATCACAACATATGTTTATATTTACCTAACAAATAAATCCAAGCAAGAGGCAATTAGTAAAGGAGCTATTTTTACTTGTGCAAGAACACACACTTGGAAAAAATGATAATACATTTTAGTTGTTTTGTCAAATGGATTATCCGGAGATTTTTCCTTCTTGAAAGAAAAGGGAAAGAAAGAGATAAACCTTTCTTTGTTCGAGGAGAGAATTTGTTGAATTCTTGATCAAAAGTCGTTGATTCGTTGGAAAATGTCACTGGGTCTCGCACAAACTTATCGCCTTCCACTGCACATTGTGCAAAAAATGAGCATGTGTTTTCAGCTAAGATAACATGGCTATAGAAGCAATGTACAAGGAACTAATCAAAACAAACATAAGATATACGGTTATTTAAATTCTTACCCTGAGGTTTAACCTAATTACAATTGTACTTAAAAAATACAATTCGAACTAACACTTATACCATATATACCTGAGAAGGGCTGACTACAGAATGGACACAATTTGACCTCATCATTCAAGGATCTGCAACAAAGTAAAAGGAGGAATTAACAGACGAAAAATGATAATCTAAAAAAAAAGAAGAAAAATTCAGGGCTGAAGAGCATATCGTACTTGAAAACTTGAAATTCATTTCCGCAGTTAGGGCACTGCACGTAAATCAGTTTGGTCAAAATGAACATATCATCATGCATTATGGGAAGAGCAGACAAAAAGAAAGAAAAAATTAATACTAGGTAAAATATTTCATCCTTAACATAGGCTAATGTAAGCAATTACAAGGACGTGTTAGAATTTTATAATTCTCATCGAGATCAAGTGAAAAAAGGTGCTAGTTTCAGAAAACCATAAGACCTTGGAGAAAATAGACTGCAAACAAAAATTGATTCTCGCACGTTTCGGATGATAAAATCATTTGAGGCGCTTTAAAATAATGAAAACATTCAAGGCATTTTTATTTGGTCATGCAAAGCACGTTGCAATTAACTAACTGCATCAATGCCAAGTCACACAAAGTTGAAAAAGGATGTCTTACGTTGCTGTGGACTATAACTCGACTCGTCCACCACACTAAAGCTCCTATTCCAACAATTGGCACAAGCACTGCAATAAGCTGAAATAAGGAATCAGGCAAATGTGAAATAACAAATCCAACATTATAAGATGCTATAAAAAACCTCCGACAAGAAAAAAAAACCTTACTTCAATGATAATTCATGGATATCATCTTCAAAAGACGAAAATAATAGAAAAAATATCACAACAACCAGCTGCAAAGTGAACTAACTGAACTTAAAAATAACCATAACCATTGGTTCTTAGTTGCTAGGACATCAATCAGAATCGAAGTGAACTATCGAATATCAATCACTCAGAAATAAATTACCATATCGATTTTTCGATTTTACTACAAAAGAAGATCTTAAGCTCAAAACTCAAACAGCACTAAGGCCCCAGATTTCTGCTCATTAACTCTCTATATTCATATCAGTATAAACATGTAACATACACTCACACAAACACACAAGGATAAAGCCAACTATCTTTTTTTGCTCTATTTAAGGACAAAGCCAATAATAATAAAAAAGAAGAAAAATAAATACCCAAATGGAAACAACAGCATCAAGAAGCCAACCCAACTGCCCATTCATGGTGAGATAAGTCAAGAAAATTGCCAAAGCTAGATTTCCCAATACCCTTGCAGTTTCGCCGTCAATTTTCCCACCACCACCACCGCCGGCGCCACCGCCGCCGCCGCCAAAACCCTTGAGCCCATTATTTGATTTCACCAACACAACCCTCCTACCCCTACTCAAGATAATCCCATTTTTGCCCCTGCCCAATCCTGAAAATGACAATTTATCCCTCCAAGCAGCTGCCCAGAACCTGTATTTGCATAAAGATTCAAGCTTTGCTCTTGAGTGAGTGTAATAATTGATGGGCTTTGCGGATTTGATAAAATATGTACAATGTTTCTTGGTAGGATCATTGTTGTGTCTGTGGAGAGGTAGTAAGGGCGAGAGGGTGGTGGAGAACTGTACTACTGCTGGCATGGCGAAGCTTAATGATGGCAATTGGCAAAGGTTAAAGAAGGTAAATGAAAGTTCTAGGGATTCGTCTATGGAGGTGAAGTGATCGAGCAGCAATTTTCTTTGTTTGAAAATCAGAGAACAGACAAAAATGATTGGATATTTTGATTTCCGACCCGGAAAATAAACAAATTACAAAATGGGACTGCAATTTGATATAATAATATTCTTTTAAAAAAATTGTTTCACCCATAAATTTGAAATATAATTTGATACGTGTTTTTTAATCAATAAATAACTAGTACAGATCCCGTGCGATGCACGGGTGCACAAAATAAATGTCATTTATCAAGTCTTATAATTATATAAATGAATAAAGAAAAAATGTACGGAATATATATAGTGTGTGACCTGTAATAGGCCAAAATGTGAACACTGGTGATGCACGAGATGCACAATTTTAAGGTCATTTATTAGTGCATAGTCGGTGCGATGCACTGGGTGCACAATTTTCTAGTATGTGTAATACAAATACATACCGTATGCACGGGACAGAAGCACTAAATGAGTTATTTCCACAGATTTTGCCCATTAAGTAGCTCCTGAACATGGGTGCACAATTTGTAGTATGTACTATAAAATCAAAATAGATTTCCATACAATTAGATAATAAATAAAGCCTTTTTTGTAAAAATTTTACGTACTTTTTTTACTTATCGGATGTTATTGGATTTTTTTTTGTTAAACTGATTTTATGGGATATAATACAAATACAATTAGAGGATTGAACAAAATGAGAACAGATTTATATACAATTAGATAATAAGAAGGAATTATCAATAAGGAAAAGAAGAAATTAGATAATGAATTTTGAATCTACTTTTTTTAGTATAGATAGACTTTACGTACAAATTTAGACTTCACCGATTTTATGAGATTTGGTTTGACAAAATCAAAGATGAACACTGAAGACTGTTTCTATTAACATTTA